GCTCTCCTCATGGATCCCCAGGAATTGAAAGCAGATAGCCCACCCTTAAAATCTAAGGCTCCGTTCTGCTTTGTACTGTGTTATCTGACAGTTTTGACTTTTGGGGATATCAGAAATTACTCTGCATTGTAAGAGAGCTTTTAGCCTAGCTATGTAATAATTAGATGGGAAATATACTTTTAGGGGTGGCTAATGGCAGTTCTGGGGGGATACTTGGCTCTTCGCACATTTGGATCAGTAAAGCATACTCTTGGCCACCTAGGAAGTATGGAAGCATCCCCACCCTCCATTGAAAGATAAGACTGCCATGGGGGATGGGCTGATTCCCTCTCTTTAGGATCCAGGATCCAATATAAAAATGAGACCCTTTGTTTTGGAGATCTGTTTTGCCTTCTAGCTGTGCCTGCTTATTAGGCCTTAGAAACTGCAGGCTTTCCTGGAACTGTTTCTTGAAGGGCTCCACCCTGAAGTCAGTAATCCAATTCATAAACTTAAAAATTAGCAACTGAAAAATCTTACAACTACTGGATCTTCTGTCTGTCTGTGTATTTATATATGTTGTCTGTGTGATGTTGATATATGAAAGGGCTCTGATTAATTGGCTTAAAAATAATAAGTACTTAAATATTTTGTCAGAAAAATAGAAACATTAATGCCTTTTGGTTCACATGACTTTAATAATCTTTGGGAAATAAAGACACTTTTAAAGATTATTGGTAAAATTAAAATATCTTCAAACTTTAGACATTTGGTCTAAATTAGGCAGGTCAGATATTAGGTTTGCTAAATGCTTCAAGGTCATAAACTGCATCATTGACTTTTGGAAATTGCCCAGCTTACCTGCTTTGGGGCCATTAGATTCTAGATAAGGCCTGGGGACTTGTCGAGTTAGCCATGCCCCCAGCTATGCTGGAAAGAGTCAGACCTTATCTGCACTTCTGCCCAGTGTCCTAGGCTCCACACCTGGAACATAATTAAAACCACTTACTTACCAAGTTTTTCACCAAAAATAAAAGTTGCTAAGAGTTAACGTTGTAACGTATGTAATTGAGACTACTGGAAAAACAGTTTTACATGCAAGGTGTGTAAGGAAAGTAGAATATGCTTTTGGTAAGAAGATTATGAGAAAGTATGGGAATGTGGATTTTCTCCCCCTACTTTAGAGGGTCAAAGGATTGTTTCAAGTTAGGTTGGATAAAGCTTGAGCAAGTTGTGGAAGGTTTGTGAAAGATTAATCTTGTAAAAGAAATTCTGTGTGAACCTATTGGCTTAAATTAAAGGGATATTATTCAGTTTTTTCATAAATTAAATATGGAATAAAAGTATAACAAGGTTTTCTTAGAGCACTGGTGTACTCTTTAACAAGAAAATTGTAAAGAGCTATAAAAGGTTTATGAGAATCTTACCTCATGGTCAAACATTAAAATTGGATAGAGTTGTCTATAAGGCTTTATTATGAATTGGGTTTGACATTAATAGTACACAAATGCAAAGGTAAAATTTGGCTTTCTCTCTTGAACAAGTTTTTCATGTAATATTGAAAAATAATTAAAGATTTTTGTTTGCCTTTTGAACAAGCTATAGAAAAAAGAAAGGAAACAAAAGAGACAGTTTTTTTTGGAAAGCAAAGTCTTCCCTTTATCAGTGAGTAAAGGTTTTTGCCTTTAAAAATATCTTTGAGTTATCATTTTGGCCAAATAAATGGCTTATGGTTACCTGGGATGCTATTTTGTAGTATCAAATGTTTTAAATTTTTGATATTTGACAAACTTTCCAAAATCACATTCTAAGTTATGTCTTTTTCTAACCTGATTAGTCCTTTAGATACTAGGTCCCCTAAAGTCCAAAAATGACATATTTGGCTTATTTGGTACATTAAAATAATACAGGAAGCATTGTCAAATATGAAATTCTGTTTGGCTTTCTTTGGGCTGTGTTTATATAAATATGTTATTGGTATGTGTTCCAAAATTATGGGAAACTCCTATAATTCTGATATGAACATTATCAATACTAATGTTCATTATCAATAATAATTATAATTGTTATGCTAAGTTATTATGTGCCACAGAGGTATCCAAATTTCCTAGTCAATGATATTAATTGTTTAACCATGGCTGCCCTAAGCCTTTTTGTCATCCATAGACAATTGTTGTCTTGTTTTTATTCTCTTCAAAATGTGGTTTATAATCAGCCTTAGAACTTTAATGAGTACTCTTAAATGCAGAGAGAAAGAAAACAGCATCCAAGACTCTCCTGGAAAACTAACACGTATATATCAAGCAAAACAGGAATTAATTGCATAGACTGAACTAATAAAAGACTGAAATAATCTTTTATGACTTTTTGCTTAAAATGTTGTTGATCTTTCTGTTTTGTTTTTCAGAGTCAAGAAACCCCCACTTCTTGAGCTATTTACATCTTTTAACAATTGAGTAAAGTATGCTCCTATAAGGATTATGAAACAAAGTTTTGTCCAAAAACAAAATTTGGAACATATTTTTTTCTCTCTACCTGATTTCTCCAGAATTTGGAAACTATTTGTGAGTGTTCTTAACTTATGGCAATATAGTTATTTGCATAAGTGCAGTAAGAACCTGTTTTTCCTTCTTTCTTCTTTTTTTTTTTGGTAACAGGACATAATTGGAGAAACTGGTTATTTAACAAGGGTTTGACTGGAATGGCATGCTTTCAAATGTAAACAGACTTCTTTAAGGAATTAAAGTTGACTAAGAGAGCCAATAAAAGCCCCTTGGAAAAACTGGTTTTGTACCTTGTGTCCCTGTATGGGGTTCCTGACCTGTGGTAAGTAAAGAATGTAACTTTCTGACAGGCCCAGGAGCCCCAAGTTATCTTGGGACCTCAAGAGGAGAGGAATTTATCTAACTTATACAGGTACTTGCAGGCATAGGTAAATCCATGGCTGGGCTCAAAGCTTTAAAACATCTAATCTAAGATACCTTATGAAACAGAGCCAATTTTTAAAGGAGCCTATATGGCAAATAATTATATTTGCTGCATTTTATGCAAATAATGAAGCCAAGTATAATGAGACTAAAGCTTATTTTGCAAATAAATTGGTCCTACGATGATTTTTTTTTTTTTAAATGGGAGATTGGAGAGAGAAAAACAATGTTGCAAAAAATATGGTACACCTGTCATTAGATTCTAGTCTTATCCATTGTTTTTGAGTTTTTTTCTGCAATTTAGATTGACCTTCCTCCTTTCTGTGAACCAAACAGTTATCTCTTGGCTGTTTCTCATCAGAAACAAGAGGGATGGATAACATAAAAATCTGGAGCAGTATCTAATTCTGGGCATGTATTGGAATCATCTAGCAACTCCATATCAGCTCGTCTAGCAATTCCTGTGACTAAGAATGCCTAACCTCCTAGGAATGCAGCCCAGTAGGTCTCAGCCTCATTTTACCCAGTAAGTCAATACTAATTGGCATTCTTGCCCAGTTTATGGAAAACCTTCTTATTTGGTTTACTTGGGAAAATTTTACTTATTTTACTTTGCTGTTGTAGAATATATTGCTATTATACTCTTTGTGTAAGAATGCAAGATAAGCTTACTCAATGCTTTCTTAAATTGAACACACAATAATCTTTCAGATATCACCTTTTGTTAGGACTCAGAGTTATGAATAACTCTGAACATACCAACATTTTCTTACTGAGCTCCTCTTTGCACCAAACACAAGAGACTGTAATAGTTAGGCAGGAATATTATCGCCCCTATTCAGCCTGAAGAAGTTACAGAAGATGGATCTTCATCCCTCTATAACCCTTAAGATTAAGGGTTCCCTCGTAAAAGAGAGTAGGGAAATATGTCAGAGGTGTTCGAAATAGGGCAACCCCATCTTGAATAGGGACTCGGTAAAATGAGGCTGAGACCTGCCAGGCTGCATTCCCAGGTCAGGCATTCTTAGTCACAGGAAGAGAGAGGAAGTTGGCAGGACTGTTATCACAAGATACAGGTCATCAAGACCCTGCTGATAAACAGTATGTGGTAAACAAACCAGCCAAAACCTGCCAAATCTAAGATTGTAATGAAAGTGACATCTGGTCATCCTTATTGCTCATTATATGTTAATTATAATGCATTAGCATGCTAAAAGACACTTCTACCAGCACCAAGACAGTTTACAAATACCATGGCAATGTCTGGAAATTATCCTATATGGTCTAAAAGTGGGAGGAACCCTCAGTTTCAGGAAATCCCCACCCCTTTCCTGGAAAACTCATGAATAATCCACCCCTTGTTTAGCATATGATCAAGAAATAACTATAAAAATGGCCAACTAGCAGTGCTTGGGGGTGCTCTGCCTATGGCGTAGCCATTCTTTTGTTGTTTTTTTTTTTGCTTCTCTAATAAACTTGCTTTCACTTTGCTCTGTGGACTTGCCCCAAATTCTTTCTGGTGCAAGATCCAAGAATCGTCTCTTGGGTTCTAGATCAGGACCCCTCTCTGGTAACAGTTGCATGATACCTGAGGAAGTCAGCCTGGTCATTCCCCCCACAAACATGGGTTAAGCCCTCCCATGTGCCTGGCACAAAGGGGGCTGAGGACTGCAGTTCTGGAACACCTAGGCTCTGAGAGGCGATGTGACTGTGGTAGCAGGGCCAGGATTCTAGCCTGTGGCTGGAGGGCCAACACCTGCACCTTCTCTGCTACCCACCCTGCCTCTATGACTCAGAGCAATTGAGCACTTTAGCTCAGGGTGGACTCAGGGCTGCCTTCCCCTTCCTGAGCAACCTAGGGGCTCCTCTGCCCCATCTGTGTGTCCATTTCCCAATCATCAGGGAGCCTCACATTCCTCCCTGCTCTGACTTTCTAGGCCTTTGAATCAAACAAGACCCCACTGGATCACCAAAGAGTTAAGCAAAGGAAAGCTCTGCCTCCCTTTATCTCCGCAGAACCCAGAGGCTGAAGGGGAGGGAGCAGGGAGGAGGGGAAGTGGGAAGCGGCTCTGCCCGCTCCCTCCGCCCTCCCTCCGCCCTCTCTCCCTCCATCCTCTCCTCTCTCCCTCCTCTGCTGGGCCTGGGGGTCTGGGCCAGCAACTAGTATTGCAGACATGGGCCAAGGAGCCAGAGGCCATGCAGTGGCTCAGGGTCCGTGATTCGCCTGGGGAGGCCACAGGACACAGGGTGAGTGACCAGAGGCTCCTCAGCTTGGGGACTGGGGTCAGAGCCTGGAATTCCTCTCCTCCCTCCTTGCTTCCTGGAAGCATCTCGGGCCCTGCTCTCTCCCTCTGACTGGGACAGCCTCTGCAGGCTCTCCCCTCCACATTTCCTCCTGCCTCTGGCTGAGGGCTGCGCTCCACTGCTCCCGGCTTGTGCCCGCCCCTGCCCGGGCACACACAAACTCAGCTCTGCACGGCCTGCCTGGACCGAGAAAAGTTGCCCTGCCGCTCCCACCCCAAAGAGGTCCCAGCTCCCCAGTGGAAGCAGCAAGGACCCCAAAAGTCCTCCCTATGACTTGGTCTCCACACTTGGTTCCTGCCTGGCACCCACCCCCAGAGCTAGTTTGTGATTCTAGCTGCGGTTATCATTCCTCGTTAACGGCTTCCTGATTCCTGCTCCCAGGCCACGGTTCTGTGTCTCACAGCCTTTGACTCCCATCTGGCTGGGGCCAATAGGAAACAGAAATGCTCCCAAACCATGCCAGTCCTCTGGGAGAAGTTCTCCTTCCCATCCCATGCAGGCATAGGGAAGAAGTCAAAGCACACTTTTTTTTTTTTTTTTAAGTCTTTTATAAGGCAGGCACTTTCTCTGCATTGAAATCCTTCCAAATTACCTGGGAGGGAGAGAGAGGTGTCATCTCCTTGTAAGTATCAAGGAGCAGGAAGCCCAGAGAAGTTCAGCCACTAGTCCTAGGTCACACAGCTTGCAAACTATTCTGGGTCTCAGATTTGACTCGAAGACCTCAGCTTTTCTCATGATGTCATATCTATGGCTGGGAAAAAGAAGGAAATTTTGGGATTTCCAAAACCACTGGGATTTGTCATTTATAAGTAAAAGCTGAGGATGACAGCCTCAGACAGGGAGGATGTTGACCTCTGAGGATTTGATCTCCTTATTGAGCAGAACCAGGAACCCAGCCAGGCTGGGCAGACAGGAGCTTGGGAAGAGTCACCTCCAGGAAGAGGGAGGTGGCTCTGGAGATTCCCTGCCCACACCCCTTCTCCCGCTGCTACCACCCAGCTCCGGGGGTGGGGGACAGGGCTCCTGCCGCTTTATTTATTTTTAATTTTAATTTTTGAAAAATAGAGACAAGGTCTCATTATGTTGCCCAGACTGGTCTCGAACTCCGGGTCTCAAGTGATCCTCTCTCCGTGGCCTCACAAAGTGCTGGGACTGCAAGAGTAAGTCATTGCACCTGGCCATCCTGCCCCTTTAAAACTCTGCCCTCACCTCGGTGCTCAGCTGAGATAGGGTGGCATTTTAAAAAGTAATAATTGTACCTTGTCTACATGTATTAACCACAAAAAAAATATTTTTGAATTCTACTAAATGTTAAAGGAGAACAAAAAGGAAATAAACAAAGAAACGCCAGAAGTGTAAAAACCAGTCTGGTTTCAAAAGCAGAGTTTCTGATCCTGTGATAACTCGGGGCCAGCCCCCAGAAGCTGCACCACCTCAAAGGTCTTTGCCCGGCTTCCTGCCCACCCAACCCAGGCCTGTCTCTAGCGCCTGCTGTCCAGGCTACTTCCTGCCTCTCTCCTGGAACCCTGGACCCCTTCCTGGACAAGGCCGGAGACAGAGATCCTCACCAACACTTACACTTTTCTGATCCTTTAGAATTTTTCATACCTCCTCGTCCTACCCCTTAATTCCAATCTACCACCTTGGCATCTGATTGGCAGGTCTACGATGATTGACACAGCCATCTTCCAATGAATTAACTCTCTCTCCAGAACCCTCCCTGCAGGGCTTCTGGATAAAGTTGGGTTTCATAGGTTGTTGACTGCACACAGGTGCTGAGCAGGGAGGTGGGCTAGCGCCAGCCCTTGCCAAGCTGCACACCCTCAGCATCACGTCCTTCCAAAGGGGACTCTTACCATTTCGAATTTGTCCAGAGGGGCACCTTCTTTACTTTGCACAAAGGCACTCTAAAGACTAGCAATGAGCTGCAGTCAAGGAGCCTTCTCTCGATTGCTCAGCAATGCAATGACGCCATCGCCGTGCACCACCCCACATGCTCTCATGGATATTACTTTCTGTCTGCTAGGATCAATGAACTCTCCTATCTCTTTTTGCAGAACTATGGTGTTCTCATGCCAAAACGTGGGCTCAGCCATCCATCCCCTCTCCTGAGAACAAGCCTACAGAATCCTCCACGTTTGTCCCCAGTGTTCACTAACTTCTGTCCTCCTGTCCGAGGGGCATGTGTTTGCTGGCGATAGTGGAGTCGGTGGCAAGAAAATGCCAAAGGGAGGTGCGTGGGCGGGAAAGCATTTGATGGTCTCCTGGGTTGCCACCTATGGCGAGCTGGGACATCTTCTCACCTGCCCAGGCAAAGCTTTCCTGGGATCCCTGTCTGCTATCGGCTGTGGCTGTTTTCAGAGGGGCTTCCTTCTCAGGCCTGCGTGTAGCAGAAGCCTCCATGGACTGGGTGCTGGGAGACTCAGCATCCAGGCCCTCCCCTGCTGCTGTCTCCTCCCGATCTTGGGGAACAGCTGCTCTGTGGAGTTCTCAATCTTCTTGTCTGATAGATGGGGACGATAACTTTCCCTCTGGAGTTAGGTCAGGAGTGCTCTGGCTGGGGGAGGCAGCACCCGCCCACCCCAGGCATCGGCACATAGTAGATGTTGAGTGAAATATAGTTCCTGTCCCTCCTTCCTTGTTCCAGGTCACCATGGGGACAGCCGCCCTGGGTCCCCTCTGGGCAGTGCTCCTGCTCTTTCTCCTGATGTGTGAGGTCCCTAAGGCGGAGCTCACCTTTGACAGAGCTGTGGCCAGCGGCTGTCAACGGTGCTGTGACTCTGAGGACCCCCTGGATCCTGCCCATGTGTCCTCAGCCTCTTCCTCCGGCCTCCCGCACGCCCTGCCTGAGATCAGACCCTATATTAACATCACCATCCTGAAGGGTAAGTGCCCTCCCATGGGGCCCAGTAGTGGGCAGGGAGGGCCAGGGAGCTGAGGTGGAGGGAGTAGAGGGCAGGACGGAAACCTGTCCAGACTCCTCTTTCATCCTGAGTTACTGAGCCCCAGTGTGAGCCAGGACTTCCAAACACTGACGACGGAGTGTGAAACCAGGCCAAGATGCCTCCCGCCTGAGCGCCTGTTCTCGGTGGGGAGACGGGGCATGAGCAAGAGACACATCACCTAAGTTAGTGGAGTGGAATGTTCGATGGTGATCAGTGCTCTGGGAAACGAAAAGGAGCTTCAGAAGTGTGGGTCTGGGCTGCAGGCTGCATATAGAATGGGGTGGTTAGTGGAGGACCCATGGAGCACAGGCTTCTAAGAGGTGGCGGAGGAGCCTCCTGGCAAAGGGCACAGCTGGTGCAGTGGCCCTGGGGCAGGGCTGGGAGATGCACCAGGCTCAGATCACATGGGGTGCTGTCACCACTGGCCACCGTAGGGACTTGGGCTCCGCTGAGTGGAGTGGGAACAGGGGCAGGTTTGAGTGGGAGAGGGACTTGATCCCACACAGGTTTCAAATGGATCCCTCTAATGTCATGTGGAGAGCAGCCAGTGGGGGCCAAGGGTCGGAGCAGGCAGCCCTGTGGGGTCTGTCCAGGTGAGGGCCGTCCAAGTGAGGGCCATCCAGGTGAGGGCCATTCAAGTGAAGGCCTCTCCAGGCGAGGGCTGTCTAGGTGAGGGCCGTCCAAGTGAGGGCTGTGCAGGTGAGGGCCATCTAGGTGAGGGCCGTCCAGGCGAGATCCTGTCCAGGTGAGGGCCGTCCAGGTGAAGGGCATCCAGGTGAGGGCCATCTAGGTGAGGGCCGTCCAGGTGAAGGGCGTCCAGGTGATGGGCGTCCAGGTGAAGGGCATCCAGGTGAGGGCTGTCCAGGTGAGGGCCATCTAGGTGAGGGCCGTCCAGGTGAGATCCTGTCCAGGCGAGGGCCGTCCAGGTGAGGGCCGGCTACCCGCTCTCTTAATTGGACGTAGAGGGACTCACTTCCCTTCCAGGCTGTGGTGGCTGACAGCTGTGGCCAGGCCTTGACATTCTTAGCTTCGGTCTCTGCCTGCAACAGCCCGTGAGTTCGATATTTTCTTATTCCTCCCACTTTGCAGAAGGGGAAACTCAGTCTCTTGGGGCCACACAGCTGTCAGGGATGGAGCCAGATTTGTTCCTGAGCTCTCCCCGGGGACACTCCACTGCATAGCCAGTGGTCACCTGGCACCTGTCCTGCCCTTGTTCTGATTTCGTGGGGAGGACATTGCTCTTCCTCACAGCCCCCTCCCCAGCCAGCCTCCCCAGGGCCGAGTTCGCTCTCTGCATGAGGTTGGAGAGGTGCCTGGCTGCTGATGGTCCCTCCTCATTGCCCTCCCCAAACCCGGGGTCACTGCTCCTGTGCCCAGCTCAGCAGCCTGCTGGGAGCTGGGTAGGCTGCCGTGGCTGAGGGACCCTGGGCTGGCTTTAGGAGTCCTGGGTCCCAACCTCACCTCTTCCACTCCCTTGCCCAGTGAGTCAGGCTGGTTTCTCCCCTACCCTGAGCTTGCTGCCTTATTTGTAAAGAGAAGATAGCCCCTTCCTCCTGTCCACCCTCCACTCCTTCCTTCCCTTGGGCTGGGGCACAGCAAGCTTTCTGCAAACACTCTGGAGCTGTGCAGGTGAGGACGCGGCTCTCCAGCGAGGCGGTGGAGCCAGACCTCTGCAGAGCTTTGGACTTGCCCTGACCCCCTCTCTGGGCTTCTGCCTCAAGGGCTTGTGCCCTCTTTTCTGCCCCCTTCCCCACCTGTGGAAAACACAGGGCCTTCTAACCCATGCAAGGGTGTGGTTGCTGGTGTGACTCCAGGCACTGTGACAGGTGGCAGGGAGCTATGTGACGTCGTGTCCTTCCAGGCGTGGGTGGTCACCTGCTTTTCTTATGTTCAAAGTCAGCCTGGACTAAGGGCTGGGCAGGGCTGTGCCTGCCTGGGGGCCATTGTAGATGCTGCCAGACCTCAGAGCAGGTCGGGATGGACCAGCCATGCTGGGTGAACTGTCCTGCCTCTTATTTGCAGAGTTTGCAAAGTGCTTTCCCACAGGACATTTTGTTGAAAGCTCACAAACACCCCTGAGGTGGACATCATCCTCTTTAAAATATAGACCAGAAAACCCAGACCGCAGCCGTGGAGTGCCCCAGGTCACATGGGGCAGGACTGCCAACCAAGGGCTTCCTGGCTCCTAACCTGGGCTTTTCCTCCAGGTGGGCAAAGGTATTTTCTTGGCTTCTTCCCTGGGTCGGAAACCCAAAGTACTTTCCAGCACACCGCACATCCCTGCCAGCCTGGACTGCGCTGTGGTCCTGGGGTGGGGGCCTGGGTCTGGCCTCCCAGAGACAACAGCCGGACCCTCCCTGCTGGGTGAGGGGAAGCCAAGTCACCCTGGGGACAGACCATGTTTTAAGTCCTGCCTCTTCTGCTCCTGCACTCTGTGGCCCGGGGTGAGTCACCTAACCTCTCTGTGAAGCGAAGATGGTCATGACGTTTTCTTTAGGCAGGCGTTTGGGGAGGCCATGTCTGGCATACAGTAGGTGCTAAATAAATGCTGCCTTCTTCTCTGGGCCAGGACAGGGGCAGCGCCTTCACAGATGAGTGTGGGCACCTCCTTGGAGCAGGCTTAGATGTCCACCCTGACTTGTCCCTTTTTATCCCCACAGGTGACAAAGGGGACCCAGGTGCAATGGGCCTGCCAGGGCACATGGGCAGGGAGGGTCCCCAAGGGGAGCCTGGCCCACAGGGCAGCAAGGGTGACAAGGGGGAGATGGGCAGCCCCAGTGCCCCGTGCCAGAAGCGCTTCTTCGCCTTCTCAGTGGGCCGCAAGACAGCCCTGCACAGCGGCGAGGACTTCCAGAGGCTGCTCTTCGAAAGGGTCTTTGTGAACCTCGATGGGTGCTTTGACATGGCGGCCGGCCACTTTGCTGCTCCCCTGCGCGGCATCTACTTCTTCAGCCTGAATGTGCACAGCTGGAACTACAAGGAGACGTACGTGCACATCATGCACAACCAGAAGGAGGCCGTCATCCTGTACGCGCAGCCCAGCGAGCGCAGCATCATGCAGAGCCAGAGCGTGATGCTGGACCTGGCCTACGGGGACCGCGTCTGGGTGCGGCTCTTCAAGCGCCAGCGCGAGAACGCCATCTACAGCAATGACTTCGACACCTACATCACCTTCAGCGGCCACCTCATCAAGGCTGAGGACGACTGAGGCCCTCTGGGCCATCCTTCCGGCCAGAGAGCCCAGGTGCTGGTCCCATCCCCTGCAGGGCTCAGTTTTCATCGCTGTGAAGCAGGAAGGCCAGGGAGGTCCCCTGGGACCTGGCATTCTGGGGAGACCCTGCTTCTTTCTTGGCTGCCATCGTTCCTCCCAGCCTATTTCTGCTCCTCTCTTCTCTCTTGGACCTATTTTAAGACACTTTCTAACCTAAATATTCTAGAACTTTCCCAGCCTCGTAGCCTAGCACTTCTCAAACTTGGATATACATGCGAATTACCCAGGGTTCATGTTAAATGCAGATTCTGACTCAGCAGGTCTGAGTGGGTCCAGAATTCTGTTTCTAACAAGTTCCTGGGTGATGCTGATGGGGTCGGTCTGTGAACCACACTGGAGCAACCAGGTTCTAGAACTTTCTCAATATTCTAGTACTTTCTGAACATTCTGGAATCCACACATTCTAGAATTCTCCCAACCTTTTTTTTTTTTTTTCTTTTTTTTTGAGGCAGAGTCTCACTCTGTTGCCCAGGCTAGAGTGCAGTGGTGCGATCTCAGTTCACTGCAACCTCTGCCTCCCAGGTTCAAGCTGATTCTTCTTCCTCAGCCTCCCTAGTAGCTGGGATTATAGGCGCCCGCTACCACGCCTGGCTAATTTTTGTATTTTTAGTAGAGACGGGTTTCACCATATTGGTCAGGCTGGTCTCGAACTCCTGACCTGAGGTGATCCACCCGCCTTGGCCTCCCAAAATGCTGGGATTACAGGTGTGAGCCACCGCGCCTGGCCTCTTCCAACATTCTTAAATTCTCTCATCCCTCCAGGGCTCCCCATGCTGTGTTCTCTTTGCCCCTTCCCCCTCTTCTCTTGCTCAGGCCTGTACCACTGCAGTCACTGTTCATTTATTCATTCATTAAACACTGAGCACTCACTCTGTGCCGGGTCCCAGGAAGGGTGAGGGAGTCAGACACAGGCCCTGCCCCTGCCCTCAGTGACCAGCCAGTCCAGCCCAGGCGGGGAGAGATGCGTACATAGGTTTTAAAGCAGACCCAGAGCTCACGGGACCCTGTGTTCTGGGTGTTCAGGTGCTGCTGGTCCTCCACTACCCACTGCTCCCCAAGGCTGGTGGGATGGGGTCCCAGTGGCAGGGGTGGGTATCCCCTTTCCGTTCCTCATCCACCTGCCCAATGCCCATTGTTAAAGCAAACCCCAGGGGGCCTTGGACAGGTCAAGGGTTCTGTGAGGAGAGGACCCAGGAGTGTGGGGGCATTTGTGGGATGAAGGGGTCCCCGAGGAATGGAGCCCACACCCATAGCTCTCCCCACAGGTGATACGGCAGCCTGCGAAAACTGCCCTCCTCACTGGGATCCCCTTCCTGCCTCCTCCCAGGGCTCTGCCAGGGCCTTGCTCAAACCCCCACACCAAAGGCATCTGAAGCTCAGTTTTCCCAGGGCCTCCAGCTGCCCTCAGACACTGATGTCTGTCCCCAGGTGCTGTCTGCCCCTCACTGGCCCAGTGCCCCGATTCTCCAGGCTTTATCAAGGTGCTAAGGCCCCGGTGGGCAGCTCCTCGTCTCAGAGCCCTCCTCCGGCCTGGTGCTGCCTTTACAAACAACTGCGGGAGAAGGGCCAAGGGCGGAAGCCCCAGGCTTTAGAGCCCTCAGCAGGTCTGGGCAGCTGAAGCAGGCAATTTTCTAGTCACTGGGAGAGGCAGAGCCAAAGGAGGGACCTTGGGCCTTCCATTTCTTCTTCTTCCAGGGTGGGGTGGCCTGGTGTCCCCCTAGCCTTGCAAACCCAGGTGGCCTGCCCTTCTCCCCAGAGGGAGGCGGCCTCCGCCCATTGGTGCTCATGCAGACTCTGGGGCCGAGGTGCCCTGGGGGGTGATCTCTGGTGCTTACAGCCAAGGGAGCCATGGCTCCATGGCCAGATGACGGAAACAGGATCTGACCAAGTGCCAGGAAGACCTGTGCTATAAACCACCCTGCCTGATCCTGCCCGGCCTGACCCCGCCCTGCCCTGCCATCCAGCATGATTAAAGAATGCTGTCTCCTCTTGGCGATTCAGACTGGTTCTTTCGGCTCACAAAGAAGCGAGCCCCCGGGTCACTCACGCAGCCAGTGCGCCTTGGAGCTAGTGGCACCAGCATAGAGTCAGCCGTGTCACTCTCTGGTTGTGACCTTGGGCAAGTCCCCACATCTCTGCGCCTTGGTTTCCTGTCTGTAAAATGGGGATGATGGTAATCTACTTCATGCGGTGGACATAATGATCAGATGCCAGGTTGCCCGACGAGTACACATTCATGCTCAGCATCTACCAAGCCCCTACTGTGTGGCGCAGAGCTGAGCACCTGTGCCGTTTATGCTCCAGTGAGGCACACACAAGCCCCCCTACCTCCCGCCCCAGGGACCCTGTCCCATGTTTTGTGTTTAATTATGATAAGAGAACTGTTGGATCTTCTCTGCAGGAAAAAACACACTACTACATTGTATAGTGGAACATCCTGATGGGGTCTGCCTTTTTTTTTTTTTGAGACAGAGTCTCACTCTGTCACCCAGGCTGGAGTGCAGTGGTGCCATCTCAGCTCACTGCAACCTCTACCTCCTGGGTTCAAGTGATTCTCTTGCCTCAGCCTCCCAAGTAGCTGGGATTACAGACACCCGCCACCACGCCTGGCTAATTTTTGTATTTTTAGTAGAGATGGGGTTTCACCATATTGGCCAGGCTGATCTTGAACTCCTGACCTTGTAATCTGCCCGCCTCAGCCTCACAAAGTGTTGGGATTACAGGCGTGAGCCACCGCGCCCGGCCTGGCTTTCTAATATGTTGTCAAGTTTGGACTCTCTAGGCTAACCTGGTGGCTACTCACATAAATATATTTAAAGTGACCCACGCTGATTTCCCAACAGACTTGACGGGGCATCCGCCCTCCTCTGTGTTGTCCCTGGCGCATTGCTTGGCTTTTGGGCACCAGGTGGAAGAAGTGTGCTATCAAGAACCAACCATCTGCACCTATGCCAGGATTCAGCCCAGCCCAGCAGCCCACCTTACAGGGGCAGCCAGGTCTCCGTTTCCTCGGAGGTCCCCGGACACTGAAGGGAGGCTTCCCGCTGCACCTCAATGTCATACAGCTCTTGCCAAAGAGGCTCCTCCCATGTCAGAGGCTACCCAAGGGAGCGATCTCACAGCATGTCTCTTGGCAGGCTCTATTTGTACATAGTCGGCCTTACCAGCATCCCAGCTCCGGCCCTCGGGACAAAGACCGCCCAGGGTGCCAGCCAGGAGCCTTTTGTCATGGACAGCACCAGGATGAGCCATTTGCTGATCGTGGAGGCAGCAAAGCTTTGAAACTTCTTGCCAAATGCTTGCAGGAGGATTGAAGTTTGTCCTTTGTAAACTGAAGCCAAGTTCCCCAGACAGTTCCAGGCCACATTAGTTCAGGGAACAGAGGCTGGCTGTCTCTCTGTCATCCCATCTGACCCACTGCACACGTTCCTCCACCCAGGGCTCAGATGTGGCCTCTGGACTGTCTAGGCCAGGTTTTTTTGCACTAGGTCCAGGCTTCTGACTCAATGGCATGGCCCGGATGGGTGCTAAGAGCCACTAGATCTTTGTGATAAGCTTCTCCCAACAGGCACATTCTTGGCGGGGGTTGGGCAAAGGTCCTGGGAAACTGGAGGCCCCCAATCCTGCTGCCAGGTCTGTGGGGCACAGCATCCCCCAGGAGATCTGCCATGCTTAGTACTGGTAACCTCAGCAAGCTGGCTGAATGCCCGTGTAACCACCTCTGGGCAATCGCTTTCAGTTACGTATTTTGAAAATGTTTTCCACCTGAAACGTTAGGCAATGAGGAAGGGGAAGGAGAGGGGGGTCAAGAGTGGAAGCAGCCTTGGGAAATGAAAAATACCCCTGACAAGAAGTGTACCTGAGACAGGGCGACCTCATGCCCACTTTGCCATCATTTTGTTGAGTGACCTGGGACAAATACAGGGAAGACTGAGGGGAAAAGGGTGATGAGATGGGAAGATTGAGGGGAAAAGGGTGATTAGATGGGCACCTGAGTTAAAATCAGGGGCAGAGCTGGTGCAGGGATTTTAGCTTGACCATGTCCCTGGTGACCTGCTGTCTGGATAGGTGGGCTGGATCCATTTTACGGGCTAGGTTAGGTTGTGTCTGAAAGTGTTCAGCCTTCCTGGGAAGATTTGCACTGGAGCTCCTCTGCCACATGGGAGTGTGGGGAAGGGAGTAGAGAATTCTGATGTGGTGATCTGGGAAGGCTTCTTAGTGGAGGGGATATCTGGGAAAGGCCTTGGAGGATGAATAGGAGTTTCAAAGGCACTTGACACGGGGGAAGGAGCCACTGAGAGGAAAGGGTTGCAGGTGGACCAATGTAGTCTATGCTCTGGGCAGTGGGAGAGACCAGTAGGTTAGATAAATGTCTGGAAAGGAGGCAAGGAGAGCAGAATGGGGTTTGAGACAGGAAAGGCATGGAATGTCAGGCTAAGTCTAGGGTTGACCTCTTAGGTGCTGGGGCGTCTTTAAGAGGCAGATCACTCTGCAGCCAGGTGGAGCATAGGCTGCAGAAGGTGAAGCTGGAGGCAGTGAGGAGGCCTGTGCCGTGGTCCAGGGGATGATATAGAACGCCTAGAAACTGGGTGAATCATGATGTCATCCTGGACGGGGAAGCATGTCCCCAATTGACTTTGAAGCTGGTGAGAGATTCAACAGCAGAGAGGAGGGAGGAGGGCAGCCGGGGAGGCGGAGGGGAGGGGAAGGGCGGGTCGAGCTTGGATTAAGGGTCTACCAGGGTGTTTCTCCCACAAGGCTTTTGTCAGACAGTGGGAAGTCAGCAGGCTGGGGTGCCAGGAGGTGGGCTCCTGTGGCAGCTCTGCCCAGGAGAGTCCCTTGTTTGGCTGGAGGACTGGAGGGTGCTGGGTAAATCATTTAGCCTTTTGGGGCCCCCATATTGTCCTTATCCGTAACATCAGATGCAAAAGCCCTTCTCTCTTACCCCACTGAGGACTTCCGGATATCCAAGGCTGCAGGGGCATGGCTATTTTCAGAACCCCAAACCAGGACCCATGGAGAAGTGGCAGTGGGGCAGAAAACTTGAAGTTAGCAGCGGTTGTCCCAGAGAATATTAAGTGCACGGGACAGGGCTGGGGAAGCCTGAGAGAGGTGGTGAGTGCTCAGACGCTGGCGAGTATGGAATCTGGAGCCAGGCTGTGGGTTCTGATCCCAGTACACCCTTTCCTTAGACCAGCTCCTGGCTCAGGGCGCACGACAACATTTTTCCTATAGTATGACCTGGGCTTGTCACTTCCTCGCTGTGAGTCTTGGCTTTGTTCCGACAGAGGACTGAGTGTGACAATGTATCTGGGTATTAGCAGTGTCTGGCACACAGCCGTGCTCAAACGGCATGGGTTTGATGAGTGACCTCTCTGAGCATCCTGGGAAAGGTGCGGAGGGAAGTGAGAAGCAACACTCCTTGGCCAGGGAGGAGGCCCTGCAGCCCCCTCTCCTCTCCCCGCCTCCACCTCCACTTGGCAGGCCCATCACAGTAGCCACATACTGCCACGTGTGCGTCTGGAGGAAAGGAGAAACACAGGCAGAAACTTAACATGACCAGAAACAGATGTCAAGAACATTATGGGTGAGGCCAGCGGGTGGCCGCGGGAGCCAGAGAGGAAGGAGGGATTTCCAGGACACGAGTCAAGAGTGCGCGGGGCTAAGCTGGCGTGGCTTTGGAGCAGCTGGCCTTCAGACCCAGGAGGACAGGAGGCGGTGGTGGCCAGCACCTGGGGGCTGGGGTCATAGCGCACAGTCAGGTGGGCTGTGGAGTTGCAGCCTGGAGGTGGTGGCATTGGCGGCAGAAGTAGGGTTGCTTTGGGGGAGGAAGGGGTCATTGGAGAGAGCCTGCTGCAGGCACGTGGAGGAAAGAGGGGACCCTCTGCAGGTCAGCAGTAGGGTGGGAGGGTGCGGCAGTTCCTGCAGGTGGCTGGCTGCTCTTCACTGCTGGTGGGAAGGAATGGATGCCACACATGCAGATGTATACAAAACAGGCTGTGCTTTATTTCTCTGAGTAAATTTCACTCCCATTAGGCATTTCCATGGGCTGAAGTCAAAGAAATGTGATTTTGGCCAGCTGGGATTCCTCCCCACCCCCCGACATTTCCCTGCGGCTGTATCTAAGTGCCCCTCCCTACCAGTAGGGAGGAGCTGGGGCACTCCATGTCCACGTATCCTCTGCTGAGTTTGGCAATGTCCTGTCTGCTCTGGGCTCCGGGTCCCACTCCCACACCTGCTGAATCACGCTCACTCCCACAGTGCCCCCCCGGGTCCTCATCCCTCTTGGGACACCTGGGTGCTGCCTGTACACAAATTCCTTGCCTCTCTGAGGGCTGTCTCACCCAGCCCCATCTGCCCAGATACACACTGGGGCCATTTTTTCCCTGGGGTCTCAGGCACCTTCCTAGGGTTCTGCCTAGGAAGAGAAGAATGGCCCCTCTGAAGCTCAGATGTCCCAGACCTGTTGGGGTCAGCCTGGGGAGGAAGGGACAGGATCACTTTGGCCAGGAATCCCAACCCTAACTCATTTCTTGTTTCCCCTCTGCACCGCCCCACCTCGTCACCTGGGGGTGACGCTCCTTGAGTTCACCTGAGCTCCTCTGAATGTCAGGAGAGGGCTCAAGGCAGCCTCTCCCAAAGTTTCTGGTGGGGCTCTCCTTGTTCTGAAACCTAAGAACCTGCAGAAGCCTCCCTTTCCTCCTCTGCTTTTTGCTACGTAGCCTCTGTATTTGTTAGGATGCTTTTGGGTGCAAGGTACACATATTCAACCCAAAGCAGCAAGAGAGAAAAGTAATCCTAATTCCCAAGTAGGGAAGCTCAGGGTCTGTCAATTCAGCAGCTCAGCAGCTCACTAAGGACCTGGGTCTGTCCCATATCTCCACTCTTAGCACAACAGCTTTGCCCTTAGGCCAGTGATATATGATCTGGCTCTGTGTCCCCATCCAAATCTCATCTTGAATTGTAATCCAAATTGCCATCCCCACATGTTGG